AATTATAGATACATGATGTAAAATTTACAGAGAAATCAATTCTTTATGTACCAATAAAACATAGCGTATTACTCCTATTGATTGATATACTGTATAAAGCTTATCGAGAGATATTAACTTCATATGTATCAATTAAATAAACATAATGCGTAAATATGCTTTAATATAAGTTGGATAAAAAATCCTAAAATTTTAACTAAACTATTAACTAGCTCATCAATTGGCATTACATAAAGTTTTCTAAGGTTAGTTAGTTTTGCATAAGAGTTTAATCAATTGTTTATGTAACTCTTAACATAAATAATTTACTATTAAATAAAGTGTTTATGATTACCTACAATATTCACATCTCATCAATTTGCATTACATAGTTGTTCCGTAAGATAAGTTAATTTTACATAATAGTGGTGTAATCAAATGTGAGACCTATCAATTAATTTTATTATTAGAATTTGGAAGACATATCACAAAAAATTTATGCAACACTTTTAATTACAATTACTAAATTACAAATACATTACATAAAATCTACAAAAAAAATATATTTATTTCTTATGTATCAATTAAAAAAATCTTATGAAAATATTGTAAGCGAAATATTTTGTGAAATATTTCATTTCAACTAAACCATTAAATAAAGAGATGAAATTTTAAATGTAGTTAATATTTTACCGCCGCGAAGCGCGGGCTAAAAAACTAGTTACTATTAAATTGGACAGTGATTCTGGGGTGCATTTTATGCTAATCTAATTGTCCTCCATCATTCATGCGGGTGAGCTAAAGATGGTGACAGTAGTGTAGAATACCAAAACTGTTATGCAACAGTAATCACAATATAACTTTAATTAGTATTAGTATAATGTTGTTCCCCGACCACAATTAGCCCATAATATTGATTTACCTTTTACATCTTTCTATGATATCTTCTCTGATCCCGAGTTGCCTCTCCCTTCCCGAGTCCCTTTAACCCCACTTTGTTTGTTCTTTTTCCCCCTTCTCCCAATTTTACATCCTTTTGGCTTTCAACCTGGTCCAAAACAAGAGAAGAGAAGATGGCCAAAAAAGAAAAAGTAAGACATGAGGAAATGACTTCTTAAAAAAATATCGAGAGAATTTGCATGGAATATATCAAACAAAACAAGAAATTGTGTGTTTGAGCCTTGAGGTATTGTATTTCGCATTAATCAATTTGACTGTACGTGTTTCTCCCCTCCCCCCTCCCTTTTTCTATAAGGGCCTCGATCAATTAATCTAGGCGTGAGAAGATTGCTATGAAAATCTTGAGCATTCATGATATCATCCTTTGAATGGTTTTACGTGGAGTAAAATTCACATTTTGACGATTATATGTCTTAAGTATCTAAGTTGATAAGTGATTAATTATGTATACCAAAATAGCTAGTGTACTAATTATCAGAAGTATGCAACAAACTTATAGTGTCATCTTCCAATACATAACAATGTCCTTGTTGACAGGAGATAATGCTAGGCTGATATGGAATGCGATCAAGCGCATATATACTATTCTCTCCTGTATAAGTATATAGTACACAAAGTCGATACAAGCTACTCTAAAAGATTGGGAAATATGTAAGTGCCCCTCTTGAGTTTAACATACAAAAATCTAGCATGGACATTGTGTATAAGAACCACATATTCTGCTCAACCCTAATTGTAGGGGAGAAGGGGCAAAAACAAATTGCACGTGCATTCATAATTTCTAATCTAAATATTAGGTTTCAATTTCACGACGAACTTTCCTTGTCTAGTAAACCCCTTTGTAGATATAACTTTCTTTAATTTTGTAAGGTGGTTTCACTAGGTCTTGCCTGGGGAATAAGGGTAGAGGATTATAAATATTTTATCTTGTCATTACTCTGGGGAAAAACCCTATTCAATAGCAAGTTCAATTAAAAATCCAAATGACCACTTAATAAAGTAATCATAATATTAGGAGGATTAAGAAAATAGTTTATCACCAAGCGTGGTGGTGTAATGTTCTGTTGACAGAATCGAGGTAGCTCGTTGGATTTTGCAAATCCAATAAGATTCCAGCTGATTGAGGCAATCAATGGCGATTCGGGATTACAAAATGGACTTGGGAATCTCAAAATAGCTTGATTTGGCCATTGATAGGCAGTACAAAAAGAAAACCTTTGATTTGTGACAATACGACATATATGTCCTTTTGTTTGTAAATTTTTTTTTAATTATGCAAACGCCTTAATTTATTGCATCTTTTTTCCCCGTAGCCTTATGGTATCATTTATTCATCGCAAATATATATGGTCGTGTACTTTATTTGGGTAAATTTTAATCAACTTTAAGGTTAATCACATTGTGCTTAATTTCATACTCACAACTTGTATCAAACTTTCTACTAGCTCGAAAGGAATTAAGATATGATCCAACTAGCTCGTAAGGAATTAAGATATGCAATTATTAAAGATGTAAGTTCATCTGGTTACTTTTTATTCCTGTCAAGTATTTTGGGAACTTGCTAAACTTTTAGTGGTCTCAATAATTTGAATTATTGAGAGGAATTTCATATAAAATAAATACAAATATAAAAGCGATAATACAATAACTAAACTTGAATTGTGGTCAATCTTATATTCTTATTCCTTTTGTTCTCCAAATATATTCTTCAATTCTTCATATCCTTTATCAAAAAATCCTAATATGTTTAACTACTTCATCATCTCTATCATTTAATGGCCGAAAATTCTTAGCTCCAACTTTGATTGGACTCACAAGTTCCAACCAGCTACATGTCAGTTTGTTATTGGCGGACTCACATTTCTTTTTTCTTAATATTTAATGTTGTCAATAATGCAAAATAAATCAATAATTTTTTCTTAATATTTAATGTTGTCAATAATGCAAAATAAATCAATAATTAAAATATAAAAAGGTAAAATGAACTCACTAATAGGAAACTGAAATGTAGCTGGTTGGAGTTTGTGCATCCAACCAAGATTGGAGCTAAGAATGTTCCATTAGTGGTGGCTTCAATTCAACATCTCACACCTATAGCGAAGGTTACATTTTCATTGTCTAATTCGCTTAACTCGATTACATTGTGTAATGATATATAATCTCAGGGGTCGTTTGGTTTTGGTGATACTTAAATCAATGCATTGTGGTCAATGCATGTATTGTAATATACATGCAATTTATGAAAATGATGTAATATACTTTACATTGTTTGGTTTTGGTGATAGTTCTTTTAGTATTCAACATGTTATATTACTTTTTGTGAGAAATATCACTTGCCCTTGCTTTTATGAGACCATATATATATACCATATATATATATATATATATATATATAACTAGGGGTATACTTGGAACAAAAAGGGAACCAAACATTCTCCTCAAAACAATCTCAAGTTTTAGTAGAGATAGTACTATCAATCATTTTGAGTGATAGTTTCCATCACATCAAACAAACAATACGGGGTCGTTTGGATCCAGATTTCTGGACAGGGATTTGGGCCAAAACCCGGCTCGTCCCGGATTTTAACAAATTATGTTGTTTGGGTCTGTGCCCAATAATGCGAGATTTGGTTATGCAGGTTTTGGAAATCCGACCCATCCCGGAATTGGAAATAACTGGCCTCTCCCAGGTATTTTGAAATCCGGCCCAACTTTTATTCTATGCCGATCGTGTCCTTGCCTATTCTCTTCCAACTCTCGATCTGATTCTGCCTTGCCCTTCTCTTATTCCCACTCTTCCCTCCACTCCTCCTTCTCTTTCGTCCTTTTTTCTTCGGCCTCCTCAACCTCGCCAGACTCGGCCTCGCCAAAGTTTCTTCCGTCATCAATGAATCTGGAAAGAAACGAGGTTTTCGTCAGAGAAGGCTCGGATCTGTAAAGAAACAAGCGTTGAGCCGGGTGGGAGCTCAGATTTTAGGTTTGGGTGTTCTCATTCGTCGATTTGATTCTGGGTTTTGGGTTCTTATTCGTCAATTCGGGATTGAAGGGTTCAAGGATTGGATTTCTTCCTCGTCGCACTTGGTTGCTATGCATCTCGAAGGTTATGGGATTTAGTTCCATCAGGTAGCAAGAGCTTCTCGAATGGTTATGCTTCAAAATTCGTCGAACAATCGCATCAACTTCAAGGAACCAATCGCTGGCAAAGCTCGACGACCCTAGACCTGTTTGGGATGCTGGTTGCCGCCGTCGATTACATGGTCGGCGATTTCAACAAAGGGAGGAAGAAGACGAGTACGACATAGAAGGGGTTAGGGATTATGTTGGGTCTGTGAGTAAAATAAGGAAAAGGACAAAACTGTAATTATATATTTGTAACTAAAACTTAAATTCTTTGATGACAATTCTGGACAGTTAAACAAACAAGTATTTTATTTAAATCCTGCGTTTTAATGCTCTGGATTTTTAATTGAGGAATTTAGGTTCAAATCCTTCAATATTCCAATCCCTTATCCAAACGACCTCTACATGTATTGTTTGTACAGTAAGTTAAAAAAATAATACATTGTAACTATCCCAATCAAATAATCACAAAAACCAAACCATCCCTCAATGTCAATTTAGCAAATTTGAATATTGTTTTGCGTAGGCATTGAACAAGAGAGAGAAGTGGATAGCAAACTGATGAAGGAAAGAAAAAAGGAAATGGAGGAAAAAAGGGTACCCTTGGTTTGGGGCGCAAAAGTTAAAATGCTAACAAGCCATTTTGTTAGCAGATACTAACTCGTATCCAAAATGGTTGAAGTAATATCCACCTTATAGACAAATTATGGCTACTGAATCCTGGCGAAAATTTGACAATGACACTGACAGTCACTGCAATATTACGTGATGAACAGGGGCAAAAAAGTGAAACGCATACAACTAACCTCTCCTCACTAACAAGAAGAAGAAGAAAAAAAAAAGTTCAACACACAATAGAAAAGAAAAAGGCAGTGGAGAGAGAGGAATAAAAGCAAAGCAAAGCAAATGGGGAAGAAAGAGAGGGGAAGGAGGAAGAAGTTGTCTTGTCTATGGAGGCCAACTGGGCAGCTCAGCAGCCTAGTCAGCACAATAAAGGAAATGATACTCATTAATTTAACCCCTCTTCTCTTCTAACTCCATTCCCAAAACCCCCCAATAGAGAGAGCCTCCCAACTACATCTTCATTTCTGCTCCATTCTTCTCCTCCTTCATTCCATTGCCAGTCCTTCCAAACTCTTCTTCTAAATCATTCCCTTACACCTAGAATTAGAAGCCCATCTGGTCCAGAAGGTAATCAATGTTTTTTCCCTTTATCATATCATCTATCATCATTACAAGCTTCCACCCCCTCTTATTTTGTACCGTTTCTTCTGTATCTTCCCTTCTCTTTTTCAGCTCATAGGTTTCCCAGTTTGGTAGGGGAGAAATGAGGAATGGGGAGAGGGATTTAGGGGGGAATGGGAATCCAAATTTTCTATCTTTCCTTAATTTTAATGACTGGGGTCTTTGTCAATACTCTGTTCTTTGTCTTTTATTATTTTTCGTTCGCTGAAATCTGCTGTTTGTGTTTGGTTGCTGAGTAAACCGAGAATCCTAGTCACTGAGTGGGAAATTTCAGGTTCGCAGCTGCTGTTGGCTTTTATTTCCTTTCTAAAGCCTCTTCCTTTTCCCGTTTCCTCAGGGGAGTGATTGATCAGTGAAGCAGAGGAAAACAGAGAAGTAGATAGTGAAGGAAGAAGGAGAACAGAGGGTCTAAGATGTTGTCGTGCATAGCGTGCACGAAGCCGTCGGCGGATGACGAAGGGGAGGAGGTCGGCGGCGGAGTAGCGTCGGCGCGTGGAGGGAGTGATACTCCCAATACTAAAGAAGCCGTCAAAAGCCTGACGAATCAGGTCCATCCCTTCCTTTCCCTTTTTTTCACTCCTCCATTTAATACTCTGTCTCTGTGCATTTCGTTTTCAAAGAGTTTCTTTTCCTTGTTGGTTGCTTTGGTTCTTGTTCCCTTCTTCTAAAATTTCAATGTGCTCGACATGATCCGAATGTGCTCAACTAGTCTCCATAGATAGATTGACCCAATAATGTTATTGGTATCACTACATTCAACCCCACCATTGAAATTATGCACAACTACTCAACAAGATCATCCCTCAATAGCTTTGATGCCTAAAGATTGGAGCCTTGGTATGCAATGTTGCAAATTTGATATGGTGGGGCCCAAAGAAAGAGGTGGTGGTAGGGACCAAGGAGTGCAAATATGCCTTAATTAGGGGGGCACCTCTTTCTTTTTTGGCATCTTTCACGTTTACATGTCAATTGCTAACTGGGGCTGCCCTTACTTAGCTCCTTTCCTTCCTTACTTGCTTCAATGCTCTGTTTTCTAGTGTTCTTTTGCTCTCCTCTGCTGCTGCTAGTTCGCTTTCTTTCTCTTCCCTTCTCTTCTTTCCAACCAATCACTGGCCAGCAGTTATTGTTGCCTCTGCTGCTGGAGTTTTGTATTGATATCCTTTTCTTTCTCACATTGCTTTTTTCCTTTGTGTGTGTGTGTGATCCTTCCTGGTCTAGAAAAGCAAAGTGGCCTCTGTCTCACTCTCTTGCTTTAGTGTTTCTTGTTTTGATTCCCGCCCCCCTCCCCCTCAGTGTACCCTCTTATTCCTTTCTCATGTTTCCTTTTGTTTTCTTTTGTGAAACTGGGATTGAGAATTTGAGATAACATCAATCGGGAAAACTAGGCTTTTAGATACTGTCCTTGTTAGGTTGTTTGGTGCAAGAAATGCGATCTAACTTGGATCTTTTAGTTAACCGGTTTTTAGATCCTCCCATAACGTTACAATTTGAAAAACCAATAAAAACGGTCATTGGCAGACAACAAAACAACACGAGGATGTTGTTGAGGGAGACAAGAAACACAAGAGGGTTTGATTCATTGGGTGTCCTGTAGTGCATTTGGAGGCCAAAATGATTTCCCAGGATTCCTGGGTGGAGGAGGGTTTCCAAGTCCTTTACTTCGTCTTCTGTACTAATAAATACTAACTCCCCACTATAGATAAAAGAATAAGAAACCGATATGGCTGGAGCACCACAATGGAGAATTTGGTTCCTTATATTTCCTCTAATATAATGCCTAATGAGGTGGGTCTGAAACCAATATGGGTATATCTTGGTTAAGTGTTGTTTTAAGGTACATGATTTGTTCAAAAGAGGGAAAAAGGAAATACTCAGCAACAACAGCATCTCATTTCATCAGACAAGAAAAAGGAATTTGCCTTGGAAGGGTTGTGGCTTTATAAAGATGATGGTGGCTTGGTTTGTTAATGAAGGAAAGAAAAAGATGCCATAATAATAATAATATTAATCATCCTTGTTGTTATGACCCACCATATAGAATTCCTGTCTGTCTGATCCATTCTTTTTTTCTTTTTACATTCCAAAGAAACATATCATATGATATTATTGGGATGTGAAATGAAGGTAGGGAAGGGACTTTGCTTTTCTTCCCCATAGTTGTTAGTGTAGGCAAGAATTGAAAAAAGCATAAACACGGAAAGGTTGGTTTTGTGTTGGAAGAGGACCAGAATTGTCTTTTGTTGACTCATGTTTTTCCAATCCAATGTTGTGGGTTTGCTTGATCATGTTTTGGCCTTTCCCTTTTCCCTCTCATGCTTTCCCACCTCAAGAAAGATTGTATGATATGTTTGTAATAGATCAATGCAACATGAATAAGGTAATGACGACATCTCAATTGTGTGATTCCGTCTTCAGTGAAGTGAAGCGTATTATTATGTGTATTCTAATTTGATTGATTTTTATCTGATTCTCTTATCTTATTTTTCAGATCATTCTAAAGTTATATGTTTGAAACATAAGCATCTTCCACATGATTACTTTGGTTTAAATCAACTTTTATTTCTCTGTAATTCCTCATTATTTTCATTGCTCTAAATCCTCTTAGAACTATAGAGTATAGACAAACGAGTTGAAATGATGCAAACTCATTAGAACTAAACGGCTAAACATAGCTTTGTTGCTGATTATTCGACTAAACTCAGGTGTAATCAGTAATTAGACTAAGTTTTGTTGACTGAGACCCTCTTAAAGTTAAATGTGTTAATACATTGGCATACTACTAAATGAAAAGAAATTCGAGACTTTCCTCTAATGCTCTAGTTTGATTCTTTTCAGATCAAGGACATGGCACTGAAGTTATCAGGCACATACAAGCAATGCAAGCCCTGCACAGGAGGATCATCCAGCAGCAACTACAAGAAAGGACACCACCGCCCTTACCCTGACTTGGATGCAGCCTCGGAAGGAGGCGTTCCATATCCTTACTTCGGTGGCGCGGCAAGCTCCAGTTCCACGCCGGCATGGGACTTTCCTGGCCGCGGCGGCGGCGGAGGGAGAAGCGACACCAGATTCGCTTCAGGGGATTCATGCGATGTGGTGATCGACGATGAGCCCAAGGAATGGATGGCTCAGGTTGAACCCGGCGTCCACATTACCTTCGCTTCCCTCCCCAATGGGGGCAATGATCTCAAACGGATTCGGTTCAAGTGTGTGTTAATTTATAGCTCTCTCTACAACTCAGGGTTGCTCTGTTTTGCTGTTGTTGTTGTTGTTGTTGCAGAAGCTGACATTGATTAGGGGTTTGTTTTGAGTTGTGTTTTTGAAGCCGGGAGATGTTCAACAAGTGGCAAGCGCAGAGTTGGTGGGGCGAGAACTACGACAGGATCATGGAGCTTTACAATGTGCAGAGATTCAACAACCGCCAGTCTCTCAACACTCCTCCAAGGTCTCAAGATGAGGTAAAGTCTGCCCCACTCTGATCTCGTCTGAACCGAATGGTTGTTCCTCACTGTTTTTCCTCCCCCAATTTCAGCATAGAGATTCTACTTATTCGAGATTAGGCTCTGCAAGGGAAAGCCCCATGGCGCCAAGGAACTACTACAGGCCATCTCCTGGGATGATGGAACAGGGCAGCAGCCACCATTACCCTCCCGGTTACGGTCTGGGAGGCGGCCCGAGAGGCGAGGCTTCCTCGATGGAAGCCTCGAGAACCACAACCTCTTCGCAAGACGAGCCGTCCATCTCGGTGAGCAATGCCAGCGATTTGGAGGCGGAGTGGGTCGAGCAAGACGAGCCTGGAGTGTACATTACCATCAGACAACTCGCGGATGGTACCAGGGAGCTCCGGCGGGTTCGGTTCAGGTATGAAATTTAACGGTCAATAACTGTTTTTTGGTTTTCCATTTCAAATTTCCCGACAAGTATAGCAAACCCTGATGCTTCACATTGATGTCTTTTCCTCTTGTCTGCAGTCGAGAAAGATTTGGGGAAGTGCATGCTAAGTCATGGTGGGAGGAGAACAGGGATAGAATACAATCTCAATACCTGTAGAGAGAGAGAGAGAGAGAGAGAGAGAGGGTTTGGAACAGAGTAAAGGTAAAAACTTTTTAACAGCATCTCAAAGGAAGTGGAGGGTTGCAGATTGGATATCCTCCAGGGAAAGATATGATATGAGTTGAGTGTTCTTTCTTTCTTCCAAGTTGTGTTCACACAGTTCACTGGACATGTGCTTAGAAAAGAAATTACGGCAATTGGGAAGAACATTGGCTGAAAGAGTAAAAGTGCAGCGTTACTGGATGCCCGATTTTTTGCCTGGAATGTGAGTGTAACCATTGTAATTCTTTCTACGTCACTGCGATCTTTAGGGGGGGATAATTTGTTCTTTCATCAATAGAAACTTTATATAGCTCAAAAGGAAATGGAATGGGGGATGTATATTATTATTTGGTGAGGTTGACACAATGCACCATTGTCGATGAAAGTATTATTCGTATCAAAGGATGAAATGACGGAGTTATAAGTCTGTGTTGGGTTGGTCCAACTCATATGGTGGTTGGATTAACCGGTTTGAGTGTGAGTTTTGGTTGGTTTCTAGAAGATCCTCTATTTTCAAAATAGAGAGTTATTGTCTACTCAAAAGTGAAAAGTGTGGACAGCTTTTCATTTGTAGAGAGAGAATCAGAAAAGAGAAGAGATAAGGAAAAAGAGAGAAGAGAGGAAGAGCTGCAGGTTTTCGTTTTTGCAGCAGGGCAGCCTGTTCAAGTGAGCGTTCTGGAAGATTGAACCGTTGGATCGTCCTGAAATTTGGACAGTGGGTTCGCGATTCTCTGGGCTTCATTCTGACCGGAGGGATCGTCATTCTGAGGTCTAGTTCGTCGGAATCGCTCCTGGACAGAAGGTGTACGAATCTGTTTTTTGGGTATCTCTCAACCTCTCTTTGTCTTGCTCTTGTTCTTGTTATCCACCATGTTGGTGAGAGCTATTATGGTTGATTGTTGATCCAAGAAGGGTGTTCTTGAGATATTTGTAATCCTCTAGCTAGTCTAGAGAGGACTTGTAATCCCACCAAAGTCTAGTGGAGTTGTGGCTTGGACAAAGGTCCCGTGGTTTTTCCCGATTTGGGTTTTCCACGTAAAAATCGTGTGTCTTGTGCATTCTATTCTTGCTTGTGGTTGCTGCCCGGTTTCTCAACAGTGGTATCAGAGCATTAGGTTGTTTGGGGGCTGTGTTTGGTGAATGGCAAGAATGGATGACTCAAGTGGAGCAATGATTAAGTTGACATCATCCAACTACTCGATTTGGAAGCCACGGATGGAGGATATTCTGTTTTGCAAGGATCTCTATGAGCCAATTGAAAATGGCAGCGAGAAGCCGGAAGACAAGACCGAGAAGCAATGGGAGGTCTTGCATAGAAAGGCGGTGGCAATCATTCGACAATGGATTGACCAAAGCATCTTTCATCATGTTGCAAAAGATACAAGAGCAGATGAATTGTGGCAGAAATTGGAGTCCATGTATGAGAGGCAATCGGCTCAAAATAAAGCCTCACTCATTCGAAGAATTGTGAACTTGAAGTACAAGGATGGACATAGTGTCTCGGAGCATTTGAGTGACTTTCAAGGGCTTGTGAACCAGCTAACTACTATGAAGTTAGCACTTGATGATGAAGTGCAAGCATTGTTACTTCTCAGTTCTTTGCCGGATAGTTGGGAGACTTTGGTGGTCTCACTTAGCAACTCAGCACCTAATGGCAAGTTGACGATGGACATTGTCAAGGATAGCATGCTGAATGAAGAGGCAAGGAGAAAAGAGTTGGGGATTACCACGGAGTCACATGCTTTGGTGGCGGATAATTCTGGAAGTCGTGGAAGAAGCAGAAATCGAAATTCCAACTTCAAGAACTCTCAGAATCGAAGTAACAGCCGAGGGAGATCAAAAGGGAGATCAAAATCATTGTCAAGACCAAGAGGAGAAATCACATGTTATCATTGCAACCAGCCCGGGCACATGAAGAGAGAGTGCAGAATCTTGAAACGGGAACAAACTAGAGGAAAATGTGTGGAAAACCGAGAAAAAGATGATACTACTGCTGCTGCCACAGATGGTGATGTAGTCATTGTTTGTGATGCCGGTTTTGTTAACCTTGCTTGTCAAGAGAGTACATGGGTTGTTGACTCGGGTGCCTCATTTCATGTGACCTCACGGGTTGATCTTTTCTCTTCCTACAAAAACGGTAACTATGGTTGTGTGAGGATGGGAAATGATGGCGCATCAAAGATTGTTGGCATGGGTGATATTCATCTAGAGACCAACACGGGTTGCAAGCTAGTCTTGAAGCATGTGAGACATGTTCCTGACATGAGGCTGAATTTGATATCCACGGGAAAGCTTGATGATGATGGTTATACCAACTATTTTGGAGAAGGAAAATGGAAGCTCTCAAGAGGTTCTCTTGTGGTGGCTAAAGGCAAGAAGGAAAGTACGCTCTACATGACGAATGCAAAGCATAGCAAGGAAGGAATCAATGTTGCTGAGAAAGATTCTTCCATTGAGCTTTGGCATAAGAGACTCGGTCATTTGAGCGAGAAGGGGCTGCAAATACTCTCCAAGAAACAACTTTTGCCCGGAGTTAAAGGTAATCTTCTTAAAACTTGTGTTGATTGCTTAGCCGGAAAAACTCATAGAGTTGCATTTCATAGATTTCCACCTTCTAGAAGGAGTAAGGTACTTGATCTAATTCACACCGATGTTTGTTTTATGCGAGATAAAACTCTTGGTGGTGCAAGCTATTATGTTACCTTCATCGACGATCACTCAAGGAAGGTGTGGACATATGCATTGAAAACGAAGGATCAAGTGCTAGATGTTTTCAAGCAATTTCATGCTGAAGTGGAAAGGGAAACCGGCCTCAAGTTGAAGTGTGTAAGGGCTGATAACGGGGGAGAGTATAGAGGTCCATTCGAAAGCTACTGCAGATTGCACGGAATTAAACTGCAGAAAAGTGTACCCAAGACTCCACAACAAAACGGTGTTGCCGAGAGGATGAATAGAACAATTTGTGAGAGAATCAAGTGTATGCTCTCACATGCCAAGCTACCTAAATCATTTTGGGGAGAAGCAATGCGGACAGCCGTTGATCTAATCAACCTTTCGCCATCGGTCCCTTTGGAGGGTGACGTGCCTCAACGAGTATGGACCGGAAAGGAAGTCTCATATGAACACTTGCGAGTGTTTGGTTGCAAAGCCTATGTTCATGTTCCGAAAGATGAGAGAGCAAAGCTTGATGACAAAGCAAAGCCATGTATATTCATGGGCTATGGGCGTGAAGAGTTTGGGTACAGATTATGGGATCCAATTGCAAGGAAAATTGTTCGGAGCCGGGATGTGATTTTTCTTGAAGATGAGACAAGTGAAGACATCAAAAGGGGTGAGAAGAAGAAAAATACAGCAGCTGGTCCAGTTAATTTGGAGCCTATATCTCCATCCCAAATGCATGAAAATGATGAGGAAGTAGTGCATGATGAGCCCCAAGGTGCACTAGATCAAGAAGTGCAAGGAGAAGAGCAATTGGAGCAAGAAGAACAAGTTGAAGAAGAGCAACCTCTACCCGAACCAAGAAAGTCAACAAGAGATCGCAAAACTTCCACTTGGTACTCCCCTCATGAGTACCTATTGTTGACTGACGGGGGAGAACCCGAATATTATCAAGAAGCCATGTCTCATGAAGACAAGGAGGAGTGGAATAAAGCAATGAAAGAAGAGATGAATTCTTTGCAAGAGAATCACACCTATGATTTGGTGAAACTACCCAAAGGAAAAAGATCACTTAAGAACAAGTGGGTCTACAAGTTAAAGACAGAGGAAACTAGTTCAAAGCCTCGGTTTAGGGCGCGACTAGTTGTGAAGGGTTTCAACCAAAAGAAAGGTGTTGACTTTGAAGAAATTTTCTCTCCCGTGGTGAAGATGTCTTCTATCCGAGTTGTGCTTGGGTTGGCTGCAAGTTTGGACTTGGAAGTTGAACAACTCGATGTGAAGACGGCGTTTCTTCATGGTGACTTAGAGGAAGAGATATACATGGATCAGCCGGAAGGGTTCGAGGTTAAGGGCAAAGAAGATCTTGTATGCAGATTAAGAAAGAGCCTATATGGGTTGAAGCAAGCACCAAGGCAATGGTACAAGAAATTTGACTCATTCATGGTCAAAAACGGGTATGCAAGAACTACCTCCGATCATTGTGTGTTTGTGAAATACTTTGCTGAAAATGATTTCATCATTCTCTTGCTTTACGTGGACGACATGTTGATCGTGGGTCGGAATGTTGGAGAGATTGATAGATTGAAAAAGGAGTTGAGTAAATCCTTTGCCATGAAGGACCTAGGACCGGCAAAACAAATTCTAGGGATGAGAATCTCTAGGGATCGAAAGAATGGAAAAATTTGGTTGTCTCAAGAAAGGTATATTGAAAGAGTTCTTGAGCAGTTCAACATGAGCAAGGCTAAGGCGGTTAGTACTCCACTTGGAGGACATTTCATATTGAGTTCGAAGCATTGTCCTACAAGTGAGGAAGAGAAAGAAGCAATGAAGAATGTGCCTTATGCATCAGCTGTTGGGAGCTTGATGTATGCTATGGTTTGCACAAGACCGGATATTGCTCATGCAGTTGGGATTGTCAGTCGGTTTCTTTCCAATCCGGGGAAAGAACATTGGACAGCAGTGAAGTGGATTCTTCGCTACTTGAGAGGTACTTCTAGAGTGTGCCTATGCTTTGGTAATGGCAAGACCATACTTGATGGATATACCGATGCTAATATGGCAGGTGATGTGGACTCTAGAAAGTCGACTTCTGGATACATGATGACTTTTGCAGGTGCTGCAGTTTCATGGCAATCTAAACTGCAAAAATGTGTTGCACTATCAACAACAGAAGCTGAGTACATAGCCGTGACAGAAGCTTGCAAAGAGATGTTATGGTTGAAGAAGTTTCTTCAAGAGTTAGGCATCAAGCAAGAGAGGTATGTGCTCTATTGTGACAGTCAAAGTGCAATTCATCTTTGCAAGAATCCAACTTTCCACTCAAGGTCGAAACACATAGATGTTCGATATCATTGGATTCGTGATGTTTTGGAAGAGAAGTTGTTGGAGCTCAACAAAGTGCATACGGATGACAATGGTTCGGACATGATGACTAAGTATCTACCAAGTGGAAAACATATCTTCTGTCGAGATGAAGCAGGTTTGGTACTACCCCCCATATGAGCTGGAGGGGGAGATTTGTTGGGTTGGTCCAACTCATATGGTGGTTGGATTAACCGGTTTGAGTGTGAGTTTTGGTTGGTTTCTAGAAGATCCTCTATTTTCAAAATAGAGAGTTATTGTCTACTCAAAAGTGAAAAGTGTGGACAGCCTTTCATTTGTAGAGAGAGAATCAGAAAAGAGAAGAGATAAGGAAAAGGAGAGAAGAGAGGAAGAGCTGCAGGTTTTCGTTTTTGCAGCAGGGCAGCCTGTTCAAGTGAGCGTTCTGGAAGATTGAACCGTTGGATCGTCCTGAAATTTGGACAGTGGGTTCGCGATTCTCTGGGCTTCATTCTGACCGGAGGGATCGTCATTCTGAGGTCTAGTTCGTCGGAATCGCTCCTGGACAGAAGGTGTACGAATCTGTTTTTTGGGTATCTCTCAACCTCTCTTTGTCTTGCTCTTGTTCTTGTTATCCACCATGTTGGTGAGAGCTATTATGGTTGATTGTTGATCCAAGAAGGGTGTTCTTGAGATATTTGTAATCCTCTAGCTAGTCTAGAGAGGACTTGTAATCCCACCAAAGTCTAGTGGAGTTGTGGCTTGGACAAAGGTCCCGTGGTTTTTCCCGATTTGGGTTTTCCACGTAAAAATCGTGTGTTTTGTGCATTCTATTCTTGCTTGTGGTTGCTGCCCGGTTTCTCAACCAATGCACCCAACTCAAAAACTGTCTTAAGGTGTCGGATTTTGAATTTTAATTTGTAAAATTAGTGTAATATGATGATATAACATATGATAAGAACTAATTAGAGGATTACCCTAAGCCCTAGACCTCCAATTTTGAGTTCTATCCCTAAACCCCAAATTGTAAACCCTAACCCTAATCCTAAATCTCTAAACTCTAAATCCCTCAAATTAAAATAAATCTTTAATGGTTTTTGTGCAAATCATGTGCTTTATTGTTCATCATATCATAAGTGATAATTGACATCATTTTGACATAAATCGCATGTTTAAAATGACGGTTATGAAGCGAGTGCACTGAATGCACCCAAAAAGTGAGTGCACCGAAGACGCCACCATATATATATATGGTGGCTTCTACGGTACCCCGGTGAAATCTGGGGTACCGCATACCTTGAGTATGAAAACGTTATCTAGACATCGAATTAGTAGGAATTTTGGGTCTGATACTATACCCTAACCCTTAATGAGTGAACCCTATGTCCTAATTATCTAAATCATAATAATAAACTCTAAGATAGTGCATTCCTTTTTGTGCCTATATTTGGACGAATCGTAACCGTCGATTATTGTTTCTAATTATATTGATCTTGGAGTATAAGATTGAAAGAATTAAGACCTAGATTTTGATCTTTAAAGGTTAGAGTATAGTATCATGTCCAAAAGATCGGCCAATTCAAGGTTTAGATAGTGTTTTCATACTCAAGGTATGCGGTACCCCGAATTTCACCCACGGTACCGTAGAACTCGCCATATATATATATATATATATATATATTCTACAACTTCCTACACTAATCCACCTTAATTTTTTGGTAGAGAAAATTCACTTTAATTCATCACCATGTTAATTAAACAAATTACAGATTATTTCATGGTAATACTTTAGTATGTGGTATATGTATTATGCATCTGCACTTCTCGCATCGGCCTCTTGATTTATATATATATATATATATATATTACACTAGTTCGACATGCATCTTACTCGATGCGTGCATACATCCATAGTGATATTTATTACTTATAATTTAAGTTGTGTTCAGTTCCATTTGCAATTTGTTTTTCTTCTAAAGGTGTGCTGGTTACCACCTTAGCAAAATATCGTTCAACACCTAGGGTATACATTGGATGCATGAAATCCGGACCGGTTCTATTTCAGAAGTAAGTCGTTAATTCATTTATTTTGGCTATAATTATTCATATATGAAATTAATAATTAGCACATAATTAGAGGGGTGAAGTACTATGAGGCCGAGCACTGGAAATTCGGGGAAGAAGGGAACAAGTACTTTAGGCATGCAACTGGCCAACTCTATGCCATCTCCAAAGATCTGGCTGCCTATATCTCCCTCAATTCGTAAGTCTCCTATTCCTAGCTCCATGCATCTTCCCTCGTGTTACGTTCATCGTCTTAACTATGGGCTGGGCTGGGCCTGGGTTGGGGGTATTAATTGAGTTTCGTGTTTCCTTAGGCCCATACTTCACAGATATGCAAATGAGGATGTCATTAGGGGCGTGGTTGATTGGGCTGGAGGTTCAACATGTAGATGAACGCTCCATGTGTTGCGGTACTCCTCCAGGTCCGACTTCTCAAGATTTTTTTTTCTCAAGATGATGATCGATCTCTTTGTGCTTTAATTAAGTCGTCATATATCTATTAGATTTAGCAGCATACGAAATAAAATAAGTTAATGAAAAAAATACAATATTCTTTCAAGTTGATTATTTATATAGTATTATTTTAACGAGTCATGACATGGTTGATAATTATGCAGATTGTGTATGGAAAGCAGAAGCAGGAAATCTATGTGTGGCATCGTTCGACTGGTCGTGCAGCGGAATTTGCAAGTCTGTGGAAAGAATGAGACAGGTGCATACTTCTTGTGGTGAAGGTGAAGCTGCCGTTTGGAATGTTGATCTTTGACCAACCGGTCACCTCTAGCTAGCTATTTCAGTTCCACCAATGAACGTCCATAGTACTATAACTGATTCGCCTTTATTTACTTTTAGCTACCTAGATAGATGAACATTATCATTATTTTGGACTTCCAACTTGTTCCTCTAGGATGGGTTCAAACTTTTGCATTATTACTTTAGGTCTCCCGATTAGGGTGTTCAAACGAGTGGTTACCGTGGTAACCATTTTAACCGGTACTATTTGGATAATTTTTTTGGTTTGGTTAACTTGGATAATTGGTTTGATTTGGTTAAAGTTTTTAGCTTGTTTGGTTTATGTGGTTTGGTTTGGTTTCAGACACTCCTAACCAGTCAAACCAAATTAACTAGTTAAGTAATTATCCATATATCTAATATATATATCTACACATACTTAACACTTACATGTGCAATCATTCCGACAAGTCGTGGTAGCGAGTTAGGAGGAGTTATACCCGGGTAAATCCTTCTCATTTACGATCCACATTCTGCAGAGCCATTTTGTAGATATTAAACCAGGCTTCGATTATGCAGATGAGAGATTTCTCCACGAAATTCTTGCCATCCATGCACTCTTCATTCCTCTACTTCCAAAGATGCCAAATGATCAACCCAAAGTCAACACCATGTGTTTCATTCATTCTCTCCTACTGTCACTCTAGAAATGGCCAAGTGTAACCACTTCCTAAAGCGTAGTATAGCGGGTTTGAGTTTTATTGTCAACCCGGGTCCTAGATGTGATGACTACTCAGTGAATTCTTATTATCTAGCAGTGAAACTTTAGTGCATGTTCAATTAAGCAAACAAGCAAGCAAATAAACGGTTGTTTTCAAGTCAAGAGAGGTCACCCGGATATGGTTCCCCCTAGACTGCAGTTAAGTCGGATTGCAATTTACCAAGTTCAGTTACAATGATAGTTATACTGCGGGAGATTCTTAAACAGCCTGAAGTCTCGACTATAGGTCTCCAGGCCCTCTCAATATGAGTCTCCAGCGGGCGACTAACCTCCACCGGAGTAAACAGATTGAGGCCCTAATGAACAAAACCTCCACTACCAAAGTGAATTCGGTACAGAATAGTGAATTGGCTCCTCGACTAAAGTCACCAACTCCCTACCTTCAATCAAGGGTGCTCTATCAACCTAGGCATATATTCTCTTTCTAGGTTAAAGCAGAAACAACAGGAATTTGATCAAGATTCATGCCATTCAACAATTCAAACCTCAATTGAACATAATCATATCAAAGAATTATACTTGGGTTCATACAATCAGACCTAACACACAAATCTAGGGTTCTCCATACCCAGATGAATGACGAAGGTACTCCATGGAGAGAGAAGCAAAAGCAAGCTCAGATGCAGAAAGCATGCTGTGAAGGATGAGAATCTACTCTGGTCGTCAATCGGCACTTCTCCAAGTGTGAGCCGAGCTCCAATGGTGATGAAGATCAAGCTAGGGCACTTGGGAACTCTGGTTCGTCGCTCTCTCTCTCTAGGAATCGCTTTCTTTCTCTAAAACTCGGAAACCCCTCTATTTTGGCCTTCTTTTCCCTTAAGAAGCTGTCTGTCGCGATCCCCGGCCTGAATACCCGGTCGGGTATTTGGGCCGAGACCGGGCATTTTCAAAATGCAGCGTCGGGGTTAGGGGAAAATCCCTGGTCTTCTATAATAATCCCCAACCGGGGATTTATGCTTCACGACCGGGACCCCTCCTGTTTCTCAGGCGCCAAAACCACTTTTCCCCGGTCCGCTCAAAATAATACCCCGCCGGGTATTTCTGGTCATGGTCGGGTATTTTTCCTCCTCCAGCACACTTCGACCCAAACGTGCTCCTTTCAACCCGAAACTCGTTTCTTCTTCGCCTCGATTCCAACGTCGAGCCCTGAAATATGACATAAACGCACAACCTCGCGTGAAATCGGCTTAAAACACGAGAATCAACCTCTCAAACGGCTCAAGAATAGGGGTAAAAACAGGTGTAATTATTGGTCTATCAAACTCCCCCACACTTAACCGTTTGCTTGTCCCCAAGCAAACCTAACTCAAACCAATGCAACTCTCCAGACCTCTATAGCAACAAACAACCCCGATCGTCGGTTGAGGATTTTCTAGATCATATAGCAGCTTACGAGGTCAACTGGTCTTCTAAGACGTTCCCTATCTCTCTCAATGCGAGTACTAGACTCAAGCCAGGATCATGAGAAGCAGTGGAAGTAAGACAGTCAGTTCATGGATAAAGGGACTCATACAATTCACAACCAAGGACTCGTTGTACCGGGGTGCTCTTTCACTTCATTTCACCGTTGGAACCCCCTTTTCACTTTCATTTTATTTCCTTTTTTTTCATTCACTTAGCGGGGGTTCCAACTGCAGTCTTTCGCACGGTTGACCCTTATAAGTCGAGCAAGAGCAATTTCTGTACATCTGGCGCTCGCCAGAGCACTTCTTTTAACTCCTTTACCTCGACTCGTGTGGAGGGTCAATGAAATTAAGGGGGGTCGGAAGCTCTATCCGTGCCCTTAAAAACACATCCTCGAGTTGGCAAACCGTTCAACGGGTGAAAATTTTACTTGTACTAGAGACAGCTTAGCTTCACCTTGTAGGAGTACCCCACTAAGGATCACTAAAATCTCTTCCAAAACCCGATTTTGTGCAATGAATGGTGCCACATACGTTGGGCTTTCCCCATGTTTAAGATTTTGATGATTTCAACATGGAGGACCAACTGCTTTTCAATTCTCACATGAGCACCCTGTTCGATACACGAGTCCACAACATAATCCAAACAGAGTCCACATTACCACATGAATTCAACGGTCTTAGCTCCACTAATTCACAAAATCAACTAGCATAACAGAGAGCTAGATAGGAAAAATCTTATACTTCAACATCCTCCATAGTGCTACACTACCTCCCTAGATTGCACATTACTATAGAGACTGTCAATTCAAAGCATACTGAGCAGGCAATTTGCAAGGAAACACGTACTTGGAGCCCTCAAATTTAAAATTTTTGGACAGTGGACTAGGCTCCAAGCACACAAACAGATCTAATGCAGTCAAAAGATAAACATCCCCCCCCCCAAACTTAAGATCGACATTGCCCTCAATGGAGAAGAGGGAAGGATAAGGGGAACGATGTTACCGGTGTGCACGGACTGCAGAAGACTGGAAGCGGACCAGTCTGAGTGAAGTGGACTGGAGAGAGGACCAGTCAGGAACAAGCACAGCTAAAGGGAACCAAAAAGCTCAAACACAATAAAAAGAAAGAAAATAAACCGACACAAGACAGTTTGCACGCTGACATAAACAAAAACATACAAAACATGCCACTAGGGGACTCCTAGACCGGTGAAGTCGATCTGGTTCATGAGGTCGTCGTCCCCATCTGTCGGTGGTGGAGGTGGGGAGTGGTCCCACCGGGTGGTCCAGTGGTGCTCCGCTGGTGGGTGACAAGCCTGGAGCAGGTGCTTCGAGTACTCCATTAATCGGCGGCCTCGATCTCTCTCCCGCTCGATGAGAGCACCAGTGACTCCCATCTGGGTCTCTATGCGGTCGAGGCGCTCGTCGACAACCGTCAGCCTGGACTGGTACTCGGCCTGGTGGGCCGAATACTGCTGGTAGAACTGGACCAGATGGTCCATGAGCTGCTGGTTCTAAAGACCGAGCTACTGGAACTGGAGCCCCATCTGCTGGAACTACTCCGTGAAGAAGTCCATCGACGGGCCAGAAACCATCGACGGACCAGAAGGACCAGAGGAGGACTCACCTCTCTCTGATCTCCGTCGTGGTTGAAGGTCCCCTGGTGGAGAGACCGGGGGCTCTGGCTCATCAGCATCCATGGCCCCGCCATCATCATCATCATCGTCCACCTCCTCTTCGCCGGAGTAGTCAGCATCCTCCTCGTCTTCATCGAGATCCTCATCCTCCTCAGGGGGCATGGAAAGCCCATCCACCCAGGTGCGGGTGCCATCAGTGGTCAGGAGGAGTGCATTGGTGAAGCACATCCCGGCTGAGGGGGTGGAGCCGCCCCGTGTAGAAGAATCCGTGAGTCCCTGGAAGCTGATGTCGAAATGGCGCGCCAGACGGGTGATCAGGGGACCACAGTAGAGATGGTTGGGTTTTCCGTGGCACCGGGAGAAGGTGGTGGCCATGAAAGAACCCAAGTGTAGCATGTGCTCCGGGTCCCTCATCGAGTACATGGCATAGAGCACCCGCTTCGGAATCTTGTGCGACCCAGTAGCACAGGGGACGATCGAGCGGGTGATGAGCATGTTCAGGATGTGCCACTGCGGCTTGATGGTGGAAACGGAGGTCTGTCCGGCATCGAAGAAGTCTTGCGCATAGGCGCTTCTGGCTATCCGGCGGTAGAACTCGTCCTGGTTCCAATCCGTCGGGTGTGGAATCTCCACCTCGTGGCGTGAGTACGGGTGGTAATCGATCCCATGGCGTAGGCCAACCCGTCAATAGTCAGCTCCCGTGGGTGGCCACCCAGCCTGAAAGTAACGGAGTATGAGTCCCGGGGCGCCTTGGAGTGGTAGTGGTAGGTGGTGTAGAACTCCCACACCAACTCCGTGTAAGTGGGCTCCTCTATGGTCAGCAGTGTCCGCCAATCCCGGTGGCTGATGGCGGGGGAGAGCTCCTGTATGCAGTGGAGCTGCTCGAATACGCCCCACTCCAGATGATGGTGGCGCTCCAATCTCCCGCGGATGACCTTAAGGAACTGGTCCGCGTAATCCGGGTGCAGGCGCAGATCCTGCACGAACGGATGGTCGAGTGACATGTTCCTGCAAAATTAACAAACCAAAGGTGGAGCCAAGAAAAACTTGTCAGGACCAACAACATGGGTTCATCACGTCCCCCACACTTAAGGACCACCTAGGCTAACAGTTTAAGCACAACCGGTTGAATCGCAAGTTACTCAACTGGAATCAAGGCAAGAACAACAGAACCAACCACATCAATCACACGGGTAGCACACACACCATAGATATAACCATGCATACTCAAAGCATCCCTCACCCTATTCTAACTCAAGCATGCAAACACAGTTCTCGGTACTACAATCTATAGTTAGATTTTACAGGAAAAA